ATACGTTGTATTAGTACGGTTTAGCATTCAGTTTAGGGTTGTCATTTAGTTTATGGAACGAAAGTCCGCTGGCTCTTGGGTCGGACCATTAATTGAATTTTTGTCTGGCGTTGCGAATTCATGTTTTTTCTCACTTCAGCAAATGACGCCATTAAGTTGCAGTCAGTTTGCCAAAATGGTTTTCAGCTCTAAAGTCTGAGCGAGCAAAATTGCCACAGATCTACAGGGCTGAGATGTATCTGAATGCAGCTGAGAACGGCATAGAATGCAAGCCTTTGCTTTTTCCTTCGTTGTGGTATTCTCTTATCTTTGTCGCTCTCGAATGGACTAAAGGCCAGTAACCAACGGGATTCGAACAGGCGATATTTTGAATGCGAGTCTGATGCCCGCCCAACAAAGTCACGTAGAAAATGCAGTAACTTTTCAGCATACTTTCTGTTCCGAATACAAAGGAAGAAGAAAGGAAAGTTAATCACCGTTTCAGAGTCGGTCTTCCTTCAGTTTCATGATCGACGCCGTTTTAAGAAGTTTTCGGTACGGTACTGATCTCCACTTCTATGCCATCAGCCAAAAGTGCTTTCTGTTTCAAACGCAGAGTCTACACCATTTGGCAAGCGTCGCGTGTAGTTTCCTGTTTCTTTCCCTCAGAATGGAATTCATTCATCAACAATGGAAGAAGGGCGAAAGAAGGGTGAATGACCCTGACCGGGGGTTTGAACTCGGAGCATAATGGTTTTGAGTTCGACGCCCTCCCGACTGAGCAACTTCCGATCCGAAGCAGTGTGTGGCAAATTCTTTGCGCAAGACAATTCGTGAATAAGACAAAGATTGCTTCAGTTGAATCGAATTCGACACCTCCGAAGTTTGAAGCAGACCTATTAGACACTGTGCCAATACGCCACACCCGGCTTTACGAATTTTAACGCTTTCGCACTAGGACCGTGTTTCTGCGCTCCGACGTCATTGCGTCACTCGCGACACTACAAAGGCGCGTTCCCCATGACGACGCTTTTATGACCCCACTTCGACCGTTATCTGACGCAACTCACGTATATGGTTTCCTTTTGTGCCCTACTCCTTGAACAGCGGACAGACAACGTTGAAATAGTATTAGTAGGATATTTATTCATATTTGCTAGTAACCAGAGAAGTTACACCAACTTACGATAACCACACTGTTACTCTGTGAGTACAATTTTGAAGAATTGGGCTTGTATTTTTTCTGCCTTACGTGGCCAAATCATAATAAAGTATTCATTTATCGGTCAACATGTAGCTTTATTTCGAGGAGACAAGTTCCTAAAGTCTGATCGATTTTGTAACCAGTGATATAAGAAATTGAGAACCACCGGAAAGTGTCCGGTCTTGTGCCGGTTGTTGGTAAAATTGCTAAGGGTTCCTGTAGGTTTAGTGCATTTGTGAAGAAAATATCAGCGAGGTTGTTATTCCGAAGTATTAAACCTTTTCTACCATTTAACCATAAACCTGCCTTATAAGGGCCTGCAAGCCATTTGCTTTGCTTTTAGCAGCTTTACTAGGCGCATTATGCGACTATTGTGGCGACATTTGAAGCTATCAAAACAGGCGACAGCGTGGTAGAGAAATGACGGTGTTACATGCTACGATGTGACTGCTTCAGTGCATAAGAAGTCATGGTCATCGATTTGTCTGCTGTTTGCTTGTGGTTGCAAGACATCATGTCGATGTATATTGCATTGTTTCTGTTGACTCTGGAAATGCCGTGACGCTTCGGAAGCAAAATTGCTAATGTATGCATGTAACTGTTTCTAGGGTAAGGACAAAGACATATATCGCATAGCAAAAGCCAGAGAAAGAAGGACAAAAGTCTTCGGTAATGTGGAGTGCATAAAGGCGAAAGCGGAATGGTGCTGATCGACGAGAAAAATATTCTCTGGCAAAAACACTTCCAAGCGCTACTAAACGATAAAACATCCCAGAGAGACCGTGAAAGAGATCCCATGAAACTAGGGTCTAGTCGAAAAAAATTCACCTAGG